CAGATTCACCTCATAGCTGGCACAGAATAAAGAATAACAGAGTAAAGAATAACAGTTACAGCCACCCTCTTCAAGGTGGGGAACTTGACTGGATTCGGCAGAAGAGTTTGGTTTATGCATTTTCATCAATAATCCAACCATGACAGTGCCTGAATGTAAATGAGACCTGGTCTTTAACCACATCCACGTCAGACATGTGGGTTTGTGTCTGCACCTTCCTGCAGCAGGATCCTGCAGTGCCCTCCAGCACCCACCAGCACTCAAGCCCCAACTCAAGCACTGCCACTGCTCTGTTCTGGTCACCCACACACAGACAGAGATGAATTACTGTGCTCAGGCACTGATGAAGTGACCGAGAAATAAAACAAACCAAAAGATGAAGGGATGCTGTGGTTATTAACAGGAAAACTTAACCAATGTATCTGGTCTGTTCACAAGTCCATGAGATCAGCTTAAAAAGGATTTTTACACTCACTACAGTACTTTGTATTCATTCTGCCCTAAAGGGAGTCAATTAAGTTGATTATTGTTGGCACGGATGGGCAACTGCACCATTTTTAGGTGCACAACATGTTGCTTCAGGCAGTTTGAGAAGCCAAAAGAGACGAGGTGAGGATTAACAAGTTAAACATCATAAACAACTGCCAGCCCCAGTGAGCACAGGTAAATCAGGTCCCAAAGGGCCTCTACCCCTGCAAGGAGATCAGGCATCAGCTCTGTCATTCACTGTTTGAGTTTGCTGAACCCATTTTCTCAATGATCTGAGACCCGTGAACTTCTGTCCCTGCTTTAACTTCAACCCAGAGCAGTTCCATGTGACAAGGAAAATGCCACCATCCTGGCAGTGGTGACAGAGCCACAGGTCAGCTGAGGCCACAGCCTGGGCAGGTGGAGAGAGCTCTGCTGAGGAAGCCACATCTGTAACCAGAGCAGGAAATCAGGCACTTCCCCCAGAATGAACAATGCAGCAATTTACTTGGGAATCTGAAGAGATGTCCATTTCCTTGAGTCCAGAACGCCAGCACTATTTTTTAGCCTGAACATTTTTTTTAGCTCCTGAGGAAAGAATCAGGCCACAGAAACTATCAGGGGCTGCTACCATCACCTGTGAGGAGCTGCAAGGCTGCTGCAGCCCAGCTGTCTGCCTTTGGAAAGGGCAGGTTTCCATCAGGAACATGTAGACTGCTTCACTTTGGTAAAATATTTCCCTGGCCAGCTGGGCTGTAGTTCAAGTGGCAGCAAGACTGTTTGCACAAGCAGCCTTCTGACTTTTAAATGGCTTTGCTGCTCATTTATATATCTCTCTAAGTGCAACCAACCAGAAAAATCAAAAGACTGGTTTGCATCAAAAATTTATCTGGATGATTCCTGGGAAGGCTGGTTCCAGGACAGCCAAGGGGAGGGGGCTCTGCTCTCTCAAAGCAAACAGCATTTTATTCCCACTGTGCTTTCAGCCAAATCACTCCATGCATCTTACAGACTCCTCAGAGGTCTCCAGCATTTTCTCTCAAGTTTTGTGGGGAGGAGAGTGAAGAACAAGGGCTGAAGTGGCCCGTGCAACAAATGGGCTTGGTCAGAGGCTTTGTGCTGGTGTCTGGAGCCCACCCTGCTGTCAGACCCCAGAGCCACAGGACAACAGCCCACACGACTTTGAGCTGAATCACCAGCCAAGGGATTATTAACTTCCAGCTGCGTTCAGCCCCATTTCCTTTGTGCAACAGTGTGTTTAATTGCAGATTCTAATTTACTGTTGCAGAGCACAAGCCCAGGTCCAAGGATAAATTAAAATGACAGCTCCATGGGAAGTTCGGAATTTAACTTTCTGACTTATCTGATTTGATGCAGATACAAATACTTAAATCCAGCCAAGGAAACAAACCGCCTGTTTCTAAGAAGTTACAGCTGGAATGGGGGAAAATGGATTTTGTAGGAAGAGAGGCTGCAATCAGTGCACTGCCACAATGCCCACGGGCACAGAGCAGCCACTGCCCAGAGCTCTGGCTGCTGCACTGTGCTCCTCCCCTGCGAGGATCATTTGGGCTTGGCTTTTTTGGTGGATTTTTCCCTTTAGTGAAAAACTGCTTCACTGTCCTGGGAGTAAGAGGTTCTAGTTTTAAATCTCCTTTGCACAATTTCCCTGTTCTCTTCTCAAGGGAAGCACCGAGCCTGTGAGTGAAACAAATGGAGCTTGGCGTACGATCAGTGCCCATCCCACACTGAGGCACATTAGTTTTGTTGAAACAGATCACAGCGAAATTCAAACTGCATTAAAAAATATATATATTAAAAAGGATGAATTTTTAATTCTGAATGCTGAAAAATTCCAATCAGATTTCTAATAATCTGTTTTTTTTCAGGCAAAAATACAGCGCTTAAGTTTTTAGCACGGCCGAATCCTGTGACAGAGGTGCAGACCCACGGCAAAGGCGCTGCCAGGGAAAACTGCACTCGGGATCCTCCCTGCTGCTCCTGCTGCCCGGGATCCTCCCTGCTGCTCGGGATCCTCCCTGCTGCTCCTGCTGCCCGGGATCCTC